TGCCGAGGGGGTGGGGCCTGGCTGACACCGCCGCAGGGGTCCCAGCGAGAGCTGTGAGGGACGCTGAGCACTGAAGGGACGACTTGGCGGCGGGGGAGGGGGGCCAAGGCGAGGACACAGGGCTGACGGCCCCCCTCGCCAGCCCCGCAGACTGACAGCGGCCGGGCCGCCCTCTCCGCGACGTCACTTCCTGTGGCGGCCCCCACCCCCTCGCGCTCGGTCTCTGGAGTCGCCTCAGACTCCGCCCCCTGGCGATTGGAACGCGGGTCACGTAGCAACGCGGGGGAGAAAGGGAGAGGGGCGTGGCCCGGAGCTCGCCCAATCAGCGCGCGGGGGAGCAGGCCCTGTCCGCTAGGCTTTAGCAACGTCGTTAGCAACACGTGGGGCGGGAGGAAGCGCGGGGCGGGAGCGGAGGAGGGAGCAGAGAGCTGGAGGGGGGCGGGGAGGGAGCGAGCGCGCGGGAGGGGGAGGAGAACTGACGTCAGCGAGAGAGTATTATGGTCTGTCGTGCGCTGGCTGCTGCTTTTCTGCTCCTGGAAGCGGCCAAGGGGGGAAGCGGCGAGTCAACATGGAGCTTTCAGCGGTGGGGGAGCGGGTGTTCGCGGCCGAGGCCCTCCTGAAACGGCGCATACGGAAAGTAGGTGCCCCGGGCCTTGGGCCGAGGCCGGCCGAGCCCTCCCCTCCCCGCCCGGGTTCCCTCCCCTTGCTGCAGCCCAGCTTCCCTTCCCCCAGGTCCCAGAAGCGGCCGCGGCCGTGGCGGCGGCGGCGGCTCTGAGCCCAAGCGCTTTCCTTAGACTTGCAGCGATGCACAGATTGCATGGGTGGGGGGCGGGGTGGGGGATGAATGCCGGTGCATGCACTTTGTGCAGCGTTTCATGCAGGGGGTGATGCAGTGGGCGCGTGCCTTTCGCGATGGGATTTCGCGCATTCATTTGGTGCATGCATTTTTTTGCATGTATTTCTTGTGTTCTCGCCATGCATTTCTCCCCGTGCACACACATTTTCCCCTTTGCATCCGCAGGGACGTATGGAATACCTCGTGAAATGGAAGGGCTGGTCGCAGAAGTAAGTAGGTTATATGCAGTTCTCAACCCGGCTGTTATTCGGGAGGTTTCTTTCTTCCTCTTTTTTCCTTTACGTTGAAATACAATACAATGCAACAAGAAAAGTTGCAAACACACACACACCC